GCCTCAGCACTTCCTCAGGTGGCCATGTTGTTGTGTACCTTGCCAAGCCCCAGGCTCTCACGTGCCCACAGGCTACAGGGTGGAGGCAGGGCCACGAGTGGTGCCCTTGGTGGCCCAGGAAGCCCGAGAAGCACATTCAGGCAGGAACTCAGTATTCCCCCTCCACTTAACTTAGCTTCAGTTCCAAATGCCAATGTGCACAGGGTTCTATTTCCACCCTCCCCTCCTGCATTTACTCCTGCAGTCTGTGCTATGCAACTACCCCTCCCTGTTACAGACTTGGCTGTAGCAACGTCCCATCTCTATGTGGTGGGGCTGTTCCTCTGGTTCCCAGTTGCTGTGGCCTCTTCTGTCCCATGGCTAAGGCACATTTCCTCCCACTGTGGTTATTTAACCTCTTCTAGGTCATCTCTCCCCTTGAGCTCGCTTGCCAAGGGGCCTGCCTTCACTGTTCATCTCTTCTCCTACACAGCACAGGTGGCCACAGAGGTTCAGCATTAGTCCCAAGGCCAGGGAGGGAGGCTGATAACAAGTAGGCCTGGTCCTAGGTTTCCAGCCCCAAACAGCGCCTTCCACTACCTCAGGACGTGACAGCTGCTGTTCTCTGACCCTCCTGGGCTGCACACACCTGCTGCCTTCCTGTACAGCAGCTTTTTCCAAACCTAGTACCTACGGACACTAATCCTAGAGGGGTTCCCCATCCCCCAAACCAACCGCTGATGTATGAAGTTTGAGACATGTCATATTCTGAGATTCACAACACTCAGCAGTGCTAAAGACTCATGAAGAGTCCAACCCGGTACATCTGCAGATGCTTTTGGTCAGGGATACTTTATCACGTGACACCTTAAACCAATTTCTTAAAACACTTTCTGATGTTTCACATATCATAGGCAAAGCTCCTCATTTCGCTGTTGGCCCACTCATGTGGACCCTGTTCATCCTTGTCCCCACCCCATGACTACTGGCTTTGGAGAGCAGTAACAGCCGAGGGCCAAGCTCAGCTTTCTTGCCTGTAGCTGAGCAGTGATGGAGGCATTATGCTTCCATTTCACTCTCTGCTCAGGTAGAAATTCACTTCTCGGTATCCAAGCGGTCCAGAGAGCCTTGCCCTGAGCCCAGCACCGTGTAGGTGCTCAATGAATAATTGATGGGTCACTATGTTCATTGTTCTGTCTTCTACTGGCACTTTGAAAGATTGCCCTGCGTTCACTGTGCCTCTCAGGAAAGCACTTGTCCATTTACATATCCACAGTGAAGCACATGGCTTCCATGGAGACCTTTGGCTGAGCTCCCAGCATAAAATCTGGGAATCACTCAGTGCTCTATGGGGCCGTAGTCAGGGCCTCTTTGGCGGCTCCTTAGCAAGGGGATCCAGTCTGGGGCTGGTCCATTCATGTTCAAAATTCATTATTAGCTCATGAGAGAAATAAATTTATTATTTATTTATTTATTTATATTTATTTATTTATTTATTTATTTATTTATTTATTTATTTTTGCAGGGGAATTATTATTCTGACTGTGACTGATGATTTTGGAACTTCTCCCATCTTTCTCCTCTTGAGTTACTCTTTGCCAGCATGTTGTAGCTCTGTCCACTTGCCCATACACAGAACAGCACCTGCAGCTGGTAGCAATGACCTTTAGAAGTCTAGTCCAAAGTTGGATGGCTGGGTGACTTAGTCGGTTGAGTGTCTGCCTTGGGCTCAGGCTGTGGTCTTGAGATCCTGGGATTAAGCCCCTTGTCCTGTTCCCTGCTCAGTGGGAAGCCTGCTCCTCCCTCTCCCTCTGCTGCTCCCTGTTTGTGCTTTCTCACTCTTTTTCAAATAAAATCTTAAAAAAAAAAAAAAAAGAAAAGAAATCTAGTCCAAAGTAAAGTTTGGCCAAAACATCGGAGCAGCCCCGAGTGTTCAAATGTTACTATTAACGTTTGACTATTAGTTTGACTACTATTAACTGCCTTCAAGCAGTGGGTAGGAAGTGCCTGTTGTGAGTTCTCTATTCTCTGAGCAGATTTATACTCAAGTATCAGGGTTAAAGTCAACATCAAATTCATAACTTAGAATGGAGCTTGGGACTTTTCAGCTCCAGCAGCCCCATCAGGGGAGGGGAGCTCAGCGTGGATAGGCAGAAAAGAAGGGGAAGCGTGCTGACTTTCTGGGTGCTCTCAGAGGGGTCCACACCCCTGGTACTGCTATTGCCACCATTTGCAGATGAGGCACAGAGAGTTATCTGATTACTGATTCTCCCCCACTGAGTTGTAAGCATTTGAGAAAGGGGCTTTGCATTGGTCACTCTGGTATCACTGTGCTTCACAGAGACCTGGCAGATAGGAGACAATCAGTAGGTACGTACTGAAGGAATGAAATAGCACACGGTCCTCTCTTTTGAGCATGCTGTCCCATTCTTCCCACAGCTCAGCTCTAGTGTTCTGTTTTGTTTTTTTTTTACTTGATTGGATAATAAAAGCTCAGTAATGTTTAATATGCTGCCTCTTCTTATAAAAGGGTTAGTTATCAGTGTTTTTTAATTAATTTCTTAATTAAGAGTAGATAGAATAGATAGAATGATAGAGTAGATAGAATGATATAAAGTTTAGCAAAACAGAGGCAGTGTTTTAAAAGATCGAAAGGGGCATCTGGCTGGCTCAGTTGGTGGAGCGTGGACTTTTGGTCTCGGGATTGTAAGTTTGAGCTCCACGTTGGGTGTAGAGATTATTCAGGGTCTTGGGATCCAGCCCTGCATTGAGCTCTGAGCTGAGCCGGAAGTCAGCTTGTGATTCTCTCTCTCCATCTGCCCCCCCCCCCAACCCCCATGCTCTAAAATAAATAAACCTTTTTAAAAAAGATATCTTAAAAATAAATAAAATTTTAAAAATAAGTAAATGATAGGAAATGTTTTTTTAATTGAAAAAAAAGGAAGGTGTTGATGAATTTTATTTGTGGATATATGAATTAGCCAATAACACTAATTTAAAAATATTTTTATTTTATGTTTATATTAGGCTAATATTTCAATATGACTAATACCCTTATTTGACTCATTTGACTTACTATCTTGGCCTTCTTAATGTGTTAGATGAGTAATTTAGATACATTTCAAATTTATTTTTTGAACTTCTTGCCATTTAAGCCAATAACAGGAATAGGCATTTCCTCTAATTTAAAAAAAAAAAAAGTCAAGGATTAAAAAATATAAGAACACGCATGATCATGAGCCATTTAAAAGTATGGTTTGTTGTCTCCAAGGTGGGAATCTGTGTGACCCATAAATACTGCAGATGGAAGCAGTAGAGAATGGAATCATCAACTAGGATCAGTCAAGGATTCTGGAGAGCCCATCTTGGGAAGTCAATCCTCATTCATTCATTCATTCATTCATTCATTAAGTGTTGATCACATGTCTCTGCCCAGGCACTGTACCAGGTGCTGGGTGCATATATTGAGGGTACTACGTCTCCACTCATTATGGAACTCAATGTCTGCTGAAGGAGAAAGGCGCAGAAATAATTGCAAAATAATCACGATCAATGTGATAATGTGTGGATAATAGCAATCAATGTGTGGATAATGACCATTCAAGAGCTGTGGTGACACACAGCAGACTGAGAACCACTGCCTGCCCCTCCAGGAAGGGTTCCACAGAGGGCTGAGATCTCTTCCTTCTCCTCTCCTTACTTTATTTTCCTGGAGTTCCTTAAAACCTATCCCAAACATATCACTTTACCTGTAAGTAATTCACTATATTTATCTAACAGATAAAGGCTTTACAGAACAGTAACCAAACATAACCACAATGCCAAATACATGTGACACAGATTCTTAGTATCATATAGTACCAGTGCCGTCCATACTTAGATTTTGCTTATCTTCTCAAGATATTTTTTACAGTTGGTTTGAGTTGGTCTAACCAAGTGTTACAGCATTTGGTTTTTTGTTTCTCAAGTCTATTTTAATATATGTTTAATATGGCATTGTTTGTAGTGACAAAAACAAAACAAACAATAAGTGGGACATTGAATATCCATAAAGTTGGCAGTGATTTGACCTGTAAGTAGGATTAAAAGACTCTAAGTGAGATTAAAAGAGAGTGGGATTGGAGGGGGATTTTTCTATAAACACCTCTATAGTGTTTGGCTTGGTACAAAGTGCATATTATTTTTATATTCAAAGAGAAAATCTTAATAAAGAAAAAAATCAGGATATTAAAGTGATTTTCATTGCTTTTGTTCTCTGTAACATCTAACTAGGCAGCTTTAAGCGCCCCTGGGAGTTTGGGGAGAGCCCACTCATTTTTTCATGGAGTATTCCTTGGAGCAGAGTTGCAATGAACCAAGAAGGGTGGTGGGCAGCTTGGAAAATACTTGAGTAGTGTGTTGCTTAACTTCAGTTTGGGCTAACTTTTTATTTTATTTTATTTTTTAATTTTATTTTATTTTAAATTTTATTTATTTATTTGTTTTAGAGAGTGTGTGCCTTTGAGCCTGGGGTGGGGAGAGGGTAGAGCAGAGGGGACAAGCAGACTTCACACAGAGCCCAGCACAGGGCTCATCTCAGGACCCTGAGATCAGGGACTGAGCTAAAATCAAGAGTTGGATGCTTAACCAACTGAGCCATGCAGGTACCCCTATTTGGGCTAATTTTTACTTATTTATTTATTTTAATTTTTTAATTTTTATTTTTTAAATTTTATTTATTTGAGAGAGAGCATGAATGGGAAGAGGGGTAAGAGGGAGAGGGACAGGGAGCCTGATGGGCTCGATACCAGGACTCAGGATCATGACCTGAGCTGAAAGTAGATGCTTAACTGACTGAGCCACCCAGGCACCCCTGTTTGAACTAATTTTTAAATCATATATGATTATGATAAGAGAATACTGCTGGATAAAAAACTTTACAAATCTGTTGATTTTGTGTGAGTACAATGATTTAAGATTAATGCACTGCTTTCACTGTTCAACGCGGTGTCTCTTCTTCTGTTCCCCTCCTCCATCTCCAGGCTTCAACCATGTTAAGAGCCTCCTTGGCACCTGGGTAAGTACTTGCTCTTAGGATTTGTTATGGAGAACAGCTCTAGGTAAAACTAGAATTCAAAGTAACTTTCATAAACACTTAACAGCCTAACTTAGAGTAGTACCTTTGATTTACTGGAGCTCCACGTGGATATTAAAGGAAAGACCAGTCATTATAAGTGACACTGTTAAACTAGAAGTATCTTTTAGTATTAATTCTATTTATTTTGGAGAGATAGCATCAAAAGGAAAAAAATGTTAAATTGTACCTGTGTGTTCTATTCTCTAGAGATTAATCTTCCATCGTAGGGCAGTCAACAGAGTGTTGCAGTGTCTAAATGTTATGTTCTTTGCTGGCTCACATGTGAGCAGGGCCACAGGGTAGCTTTGTGCATGCCTGAGCATTCCTATCCTAATCAATGAGGTTGTCACCTTTGTGGATGTCTGATGTTCAGGAACTTCATCAGGTGAATATGTTACAATAACAAGGAAGCTGAGGACCTTCGGCAGAGGCATGAGGACAGGGTGCATTCTGGTGACCCTCTGTGGGGTTCACTGGATGCTGTTAGATTACTCACGGCCTACTTCCTTCCCCACTCCTGCCTGAGTCTGACACTGACCCATGAGCACAGACTGCCTGGGTTAAAATCCCACCTCTGCTGCCAGCTCTGTGACCTGGGCCACTTATGTAACTTCTCTGTCTCAGCTCCTTCACTTATAAAGACAATAATAACTTTCTTATAGGATTGTTTTGAGGATTAAAAATGAGTTAATGTGTCCAAAGCACTTAGGGCAGTGCTGGGGACTTGATAAACTCTCGGAGTGTTTGCTAATGTTATTCCCAGGGGTATAAGAGGCAAGGTCCCCTGCCAAGAGTGAGGGGGTGGGTAGTCAGTGAAGGGGCTTCAGAGGACAAAGGAGAAGGTATGGCTCAGTCTTTTTGGAAAATGGGAGAGTGGCTGGGCCACAGAAACGTGGGGCTGCTCAGCAACTCAGCTGGCAGTAAGGTTAGCTGCTCATGTTGCCATTATGGACAAGAAAGTATGGCCCACGTTTGATAGCTTTTCTTTCCTCCAGAAGAAGCATCCCAGCTATAGAACAATTTCAGACTTGGCTTTCCAAATGGAGCTCTTTTTTTTTTTTAAAGATTTTATTTATTTATTCATGAGAGACCCAGAGAGAGAGGCAGAGGCACAGGCAGAGGGAGAAGCAGGCTCCATGCAGGGAGCCCAATGTGGGACTCGATCCCAGGACTCCAGGATCATGCCCTGGCCCAAAGGCAGGCGCCAAACCACTGAGCCACCCAGGCGTCCCAGAACTTTCTTATCTAGAATAAGACCTGGTTTAAATTTTAAATTGAAATAGATTATCTATCGGGCAGCCCGCATGGCTCAGCGGTTTAGCACCACCTTCAGCCCGGGATGTGATCCCGGGGTTCTGGGATCGAGTCCCACATTGGGCTCCCTGCATGGAGCCTGCTTCTTCCTCTGCCTGTGTCTCTGCCTCTCTCTATCTCTCTCTCTCTGTCTCTTTGTCTCTCATGAATAAATAAAATCTTAAAAAAATAGATTATTAAATTTTAAATTGAAAAATCCTTTTTTTCGTTGAAATAATTTCAGAGCTGCAAATATTGTACACAGGATTCCCCTATGCCCTTCACCCAGATGCCTGGTGTTGATATTTTGTGTAAGCCTGGTACAGTTATCAAAATCAGAAAATCAGTGCTGATATCATATCACATAATGTACAGGCCTTCCTCACATTTTCCCTGTTGTTCCATTGTGTCCTTTATCTGGTCCAGCATTCAGTGCAGGATCACATGTTGACATGGTTGTCGTGTCTATGTTTCCTTTTATGTGAAATCATTCTTCAGTCTCTGTCTTTCATGGCCTTGATGCTTTTGAAGAATATTGGCCAGTTATTTGGAATTGGAATTTTTAAGGTATCTGTGTTCGTTTTCAAAAACAGTAGTATCTACCTCAGGGAAATAAGTGTCAAAATAATCAGTGTGCACATGTTTGAGGTGCTGCTGTTTAACGTACAGAACAGGTGAACCGCCTCCCAGTAGTGTTTACTGAGATCTCATCTGATGCCCTATCTCTAGCCTTTTTTCCTGGGCCTTCTGAGAAGATCTCATTTTGTCTTTTAAAAACTAACATTAAGAAAACTAGCATGCATGTAGTATTTCTTTATAATGTAAAACATGCTTATTACAGAAAAGTTGAGCGCTATAGGCACATACGAAGAAAATTTTCAGTATCCTCACTGCTGCCCCCCAGAGGTCTCACCTCCATCTCTCTTCCACCCTTTAAAACGAATGACATAAGTGAAATGAGTGAAGGAGACTGGGAGGTAGAAATTTCCACTTGTAAAATAAAAACTCCTGGGATGCAGTGGACAGCATGGGAGCTATAGTCAATAGCACTGTATTACAAATTTAAAAGTTGCTGGGAAAGTAAATCTTAAATTGTCCTCCCAAGAAAGAAAACGTGGAAACTTTGTATGGTGACAGGGTAAAGAGACTCAGTGCAGTGACCACTTCGCACTGCATACAGGTGTCAAGTCATTATGCTGTACACCTGTGACTAATGTAATATATCTCAGTTACATGTCAATGAAAAACAAAAGAACCTTTCATCATTTTTTTTAAGATTTTATTTTTTAAGGTAATCTGTACCTCCAATATGGGCCTCGAACTCAGAACCCTGAGATCAAGAGTCAAATGCTCTACCCACTGAGCCACCTGGGTGCCCCAGGAACCCTTTATCTTGCATCGTTTCACCCATGTCCTCGTGAGCCCCTATTTAGTATTGTGCCAGGAGTATTGATCTTAACATTAATATTCCCTGCAGAGGGTCAAAAAAACCAGATTGTTGTTTTGCTTTTGTTTTTCACTTGTTTTATGCTGAAATGACTATAGATTCACAGGAAGTTAAACCCCCAGCACATCAGCGGTGACATCTTCCATGATGAAGTTAACATGGGGACAGTGCTGTTAACTAGACCACAGGCCTTGCTCCCTTTTCATTGATTCTCCCGTGCACTCCAGTTCCCTCCTGTTGAACAAAACAAACTGTGAAGACCAGGTAGTTCAGTGCTGCCCCATGAGGGAGCAGTCCAGTCCACAAACCTGCAATTCCAAACATGAAAGCAGGTCCTCAGTCACTAATCATAACCATATCCCAAACACATACACCACACCACAGTTGTGGGAATACATGTGTGGGATAGATGCATGAGTGTGGTATGTGTGTGTGTGATGTGAGGTATATATGTGAGGCTGTGTGTGTGTGTGTGTGTGTGTGTGTGTGAGTTACGAGTTATGTAAGGCATCCCTGGAGGGCTCCACTCAAGTCCTCTTGAGGAGGGTTTGTTTTTTTTTAAGTTTTTATTTATTTATTCATGAGAGATACAGAGAGAAAGAGAGAGGCAGAGACATAGGCAGAGGGAGAAGCAGGCTCCATGCAGGGAGCCCGATGTGGGACTCGATCCCGGGTCTCCAGGATGACATCCTGAGCTGAAGGCACTAAACCGCTGAGCCACCCAGGGATTCCCCTCTTGAGGAGTGTTTGAAAATTTTCTTCTTGCTACTCTCTCCAGAGTTTGAACCCTCCCTACTTCCTGATACATCCTTTACTGCCCTGGGGGGGATCAACTGTGCACCTCCTCTTCATGGTTTCCTAACCCTGGTCTGCCCTTAGCATCCCCTCAGTTGGTCCCTCGGACTTAAGAGGGCCAGCAGCTTCAGGTTTTGGGGAAGAACTCTTGCTGCCTGCTGCTACTGCTGGTCTTCGGGCTTTGCTCCAGGTTCTAAATAGGACTTTGGCCATGTGGCAAGTTCTGGTGCCTCCAAGGTGATTCCATTCCCATTGGATGGAGCCCTGGCCCAATGTGAGCACAGCGCTTTCTAAACCTGGTTAGGCATGGGCTCCTGATTTTGGGAAAGGTGTTAAACAAAATCCCAGTACCTCCGCAGGAAAGGCACAGCGGAGCTCACTAACACTAGGGGGTGGGCAGCCTGGAAAGCCCTCTCTGTGGAAGCCTGTACTTAGTTCTAGGAGTAGAGAAAACAGCGGAGCTGCTGCTGGTGTCCCAGGACTCAGGAGGTCTAATGGACGTGCCCTTTTGCCCTTTCTCTCTCTTGAACTTGTGTTGCTGAATAGGAAACTGAAGGATGTCCCATTGCTGCCTTCCTTGGATTATGAGAAGCTGAAGAAGGATTTGATTTTGGGGAGTGACCGCTTGAAAGCCTTCTTGTTGCAGGCTCTGCGCTGGGTACGTACCTTTCCCTTGAAGTTAAGGGGGGAAAAAAGGCCATGTTGGTCTTTTTGGCTGGCTACCTTGCTTGTAACCTATCTACAAAATCCTTCTTCGTGCTGCCTGCCAACACCAAGAGCTAAAGTTAAAAAAAAGCTTCTAAAGACAGCCCTGGCCTCTTTATAAAAACCCCTGTGTTGCCACTGCCTTCCCTTGGTCGTTTGATATTGTGCCATTTCAAGCCCATCCCTGTGGTCAGTTGTGAGCCACACTCCCAGCCAGCAGGGCTGGTGTGTGATAGCCCAGAGTCATCCCCACATGACAGCTTCATGAAGACATCTGCATTCAGGTGTGACCATGGGGCCACTTGAGCAGATAGCAAGGGTGGGCATGACAAACCAGTCTTTGAGGGAAATCAAACCTCATCTGAATTATTGCTTTTCTTCCAACTCTTCAGACTGGTTCCAGTTAAGCCAGTGGTTCTCAAGATTTTTAGTTCTCAGACCTGTTTACACTCAGAAATTACTGAGAACCATAGAGGCTTTAGTTTATGTGAATTTTATCTACCAATATTTATCTACCAGTATTAGAAATGAAAACTGAGAACATTTTAAATATTAATTCATGTGAGATAAATAGTCATGAAGCTAGAACATACATACCATAAATATATATTTTTTAAGATATAAAAAATAACTATTTTCCAAACAAACTTAGTAAGAAAAGCAACATTGTTTTACATATTGGCAAATTTCTTTAATGTCTGGCCTGATGGAGGACAGCTGGATTCTCATATCTGCTTCCCCATTTGATTTGTCACAGTGTAACACTTTGTATAGCCTCAGGGAAGTTGACCATGGAAAAGATAAATCAGGGCCTCCTGGCTGACTCAATCGATGGAGCATACAACTCTTGATCTCAGGGTCATGAGCTTGAACCCCATGCTGGGCATAGAGATTACTTAAAAAAAATAAAATCTTAAAAAACAAGATAAATCATATCTTAGTATTATTATGAAAATAATCATGATCTTGCAGACTCCCTGAAAAGGAGTTGGGGACCCCTAGAATTCCCCAGACTACACTTTGTGACCTGCAGGGCTAGGCCATCACTAGTTGGCTCTTTTACTGGATGATCCATTCCAACGTAGCTTGTAATAGTGTCAGAGCCCTTCATGGATCCCTGAATTTCAGGGTATGTTGGCGTCAAAATGCCTTTGAGCAATTTCCCCATCTCTGTAGAAAAAGGTCTCCTTGCTTGCATTTCTGATGGTTGATAGGCTTCCTGGAATATGGTCCCAAGGAATACCCTGGGGATGCGTCTCACATCAGCAGAAAGAGTCCTGGGGTCAGTTGGTGATGCCTGCCTCAGTTAACTAGGCTGGGTGGGCAGCATGAGTCATCTCGGGGGACCATCCCAGCCCCGCACCTGGCCTGTCTCTGCTCAGGTTAGCCGACTCATTCTCTGGCTCCCAGTTTGTCCACCCAGCACTTCCTCTCAGCCCGTGCTACTGAGCATCTTGGTGAGACAGGCTATTCCTTTGCTGACTGAATGATGATGTCACAGAATCACCAGAAAAAGTAAACAGGTGTCCAAAGATCTTGTCTGTGTCCCCCTCCATCTTCTCTGCCTCCACCTCATTCCAGCATCCAGGCCCCAGCTTCAGTGAACTGGACAGAAGGGCGGCAGCCCCCACATGTGGCACTCTTGACACACCCTCTCCCCTCAGGGCTCCCGGCTTGGCCGCTGGGGATCCAGTCTGTCAGCGACACCCCGCCTCTGGAGGCCACCACCTTTCACTCGGGGTGGTCTGCTGCTCTTGTCTTCTTGCCATGTTGTTCTTTACACCTCCAGCTCCTCCTCGGCCAGAAGCGGGGCCTGCCATCTCAGGCATCGTTAGTAGGATTTTCCTGGAAAAGCAAGGACATTTGCTCACTTTAGTTATGTCACTTTTTCATAATTCATACCTGTGCACACTCATATGCACACACACATTTTACACACTCCCCATACAAAATTTTTTTTCTAGCTCTAGGGACATTAAGTAAATTCTTCCTTAACACAAGAGACTTAGGACTTTCAAAATCTATAAAATACAACTTCACCTACTCCTTACACATACACACACACACACACACACACACAGTATTGCTGCATCAGGCCCTGTCGTATAAAGTCTAATTTATTGGCAGTGCATTTGCTCGAAGTCTTCCACAACCTGCCTTGTGTCCACGCCCCATTGAGCTCCACCACATGCACCATGTATTTTCATGCCTTCCTGACCCATAACACACTGCTGCTCCCGCCCCCCCACCCCCCACTCCCCACTATGCTCATATTCCCCTATGCTGGTTAATAGTCTGCTCATCCTTCAGGGGCCAGCTCTTGAGCCCTTTCCTGTGAGAAAACCTCACTAGATGTTGGTGACCGGCCTCTCCCTTATCTGTACACTTACAGTCGGGCATTTTACCACTTCTCTGGAGATTTCATGTGTGTAAGTTGACTCCTACATCACCCATTAGGCAGTATGACATCGTAACTCTTTGTTAGTTGACTGGTTGCCTGGGTAACCATTTCCTCCCAACCCCCCACCGCCCAACGGTATATTATTTACTTTGGTTAAATGTGTAGTTACTGCTACTGTCATTTAAAAGATAGTGCTATATGAACATTTTTCTCCATATTAAGACGTGGGTCTATTACTTTTCTTTTTCTTCGTTTTAGCGCTTGACCACATCCCATCCTGGAGAGCAAAGGGAGACCGTTCTGGAAGCCTACATTGGCAACGACCTCCTGGATTGTCACAGCCACAGCCAGGTCCGTGAGAAATGGGCCAGAGCCCAGCCACGGCCTTCATTTCAAGGGGATGATCTTATATGGTATTTTCAGCCTAGCAACCGTATATCAGCCTTGACCTTCTGTTAGCTGGTGAGATCTGCTATTTGCCCCAGACATTGGCCCCCTTTTCACCTCTAATAGAGTCCTAAACAGATTAGAACTGCTTGATTGAACTCTGGCGCTCTTTGCTGTCATCTTTCCTTTCCCCCAAATCCCAACTCTTTCCCTCACTCCACTGCTTAACCATGAGTCCTATAAGTTCAGCATAACTTATGACAGGCAAAGCAGGTGAGCTAATTCAATTATTTTTCATCTTGGCTCTATTTTTCATCTGAATTAAGATATGTTAACACTATGTTTATATACAGCTTTGGACCAGATAGGTCTGATGATGCAGTGGGAAAAGTATGAGATTTGGAATGAGATTAATAGTTTTCAAAACTCAACGCTACTGCCTATGAGCCAGATAACCTTAAGTAAGTTACTGGGTCTCAGGGTGCTTCCCATCTCTGAGAAGGAGCCATTACGTACCTCCTGAGGTTGTGGGGATGATTGTGTTTGGTCACATGTGGGAAGTACTTAACCCAGTGCCCAGCACAGAGTAGCCAATACCTGGTGATTCCCCTCCTCACTCCTCCCCCGCCTTACCTGTTATCAGTACCAGGCTTTGCTGGACAGGAGGAGGAGCAAGATCTTGAACGTGGCATATATATAGACACTGCATTTCATTATCTCCACTCAATATTTATCTAAAATGATCTTATTTAGATCATTTGCTTCCCTATTCTTAAGCTTCACAGTGTGTACATCGGGTGAAATATCAATACCCCTTAGGATCGCTGATGAAACAGCACCCAGCAGTGACTAATCACATGTTAACCTATCATGCACATAAGCAGTAACGTTCAAGAATTTGGGGTTGCCAGTTTATTCTTTGAAAGTAGTCTTACTGTCCCCATGAGACAGTTGTGTGTTAAGTTTGCAAAATGGTCTCTCAAATTTTTTACTTATTTCCTTTTACTTTTGTTTCTGCTTATATTTGTCATGGCACAGAAACCGACTTATCAGGCATGAAGCAGCTGAAAAATATATTGTGACTTTACAAACTCAAATTCAGAGTAAATTCTATATTGAATCTTTCTGAAACTATCTTATTTCATTTCATCTGAGATGCATTTTTCTCCCCTATTTTAGGATTCTGGGAAATTGGAGCATATGTAATAGTTGATGGCCTGTTGTAGTTTATTTGGCTTCTTTTCTTTCTTGGTTGTATATATAAAAAATAACGTGTCCTCTAATGAAAGACATCTTCGGTTTTCTGATTTGTCACAATACTGTGATCTCTGTAGCCACTGAAGACATGTTATTTCTTCCCCATGTCATTATATTTAATTGCTGTGATTTATTTTAAGTAAGGAATGAGCTGGAGCTATCTTAAGATGTCAGAGAATCTGAGACTCCTGGGTGGCTCAGTGGTTGAGTGTCTGCCTTGGGCTCAGGGTGTGATCCTGGGGTCCTGGATCGAGTCCTGCATCAGGCTCCCCGTGGGGAGTCTGCTTCTCCCTCTGCCTGTGTCTCTGCCTCTCTCTCTATGTCTCTTATGAATAAATAAATTAAATCTTTTAAAAAAAAAAAAAAGGTCAGAGAACCTGCAGAGCAGGAAATCTCCTCGTCCAACATGGATGCCCTGTCACCATGACACCAAGATAAAATGGCTCTTTCAGCCAAGAAATTGGACTGGTTGTTTAGTGAGTTCTCCTAGCTGAGCTGTTCTCAGAGTTTAGCGTGCAACAGTCTTATCACTTGGAAAGCTCATTAAAACACAGATTACTGGGCCCTTGTGCTTTCTGTTTAGTAAATCTGGAATGGGGCCTGAGAATTTGCATTTGCAACAAGTTTTTATGTGATGCTACTGCTGGTGGTCCAGAACCACACTTTTGAGCATTACTGTTTTTCCTTCTCTTGTTGGTGGAACATGTCTTGTAGTTAATAGCTTTCAGAGAAAGGATGGGTGAGAAGTAGATTTTTTGAAATTATGTATGTCTGAAAATGTCTTTATTTTTTGTACAGAATTCTGGGTTGTACATAATTTTCCTTTATTATTTGGAAGACCTTGCTCCATTGCCTTTTAGGTTCCAGAGTTGCTGTTGAGAAGTCCAAACCCATTCTAATTCCTGATCTTTTGTATATGGCCTGGTGTTCTTTCCCTAGAAGCCTGTTGAGTCTTCTCTTTTCTTTTCTTTTTTTTTAATATTTTATTTATTTATTTGAGAGAAAGAGCATGCACAAGCAGGGGGAGGGGGATAGGGAGAGAGAGAAGCTGACTCCCCACTGAGCAGCCTGACTTTGGAGCTCCATCCCAGGACCTCGAAATCACGACATGAGCTGAGGGCAGGCTCCTAACCCACTGATCGACCTGGGTGCCCCTTGATTCACCATTTTGAGTGCATTGTGAGCCCTTTCCATCTGACAAGTGCAGTTCTGGGAACTTTCCTTGATTTTATTTTGTTGATAATTTCCTCTCTGTGTTCTCGTTTCTCTGAATGTTGGACCTCTTGAACTGGTTCTCCAATTCTGTCTTTTCTCTCATATTTTCCATATTTTTCTTCTTGCTCTACTTTCTGGGACTCTCCTTATCTTTATTTTCCAACCTTCCTGTCCAGTTTTTCACTCCCCCTTTTTATGGTAACCTGGTATTTCATGGATACAGTACAGCCTCTTGAGTCTCTGAGCTGCTATGAATGACACGTTTTTGCTTATCTGCTCCCTGCACAGGCCCGTTTCCTTCAGGTTGCCCTCCCTCCCCCACATTTGTTTTGAACTTATCTCCCATATTGGGAACTTGCCTCAGGTTTCCGGTAGACCATGGTTATCTCATAATGTTCTGAGGGGGCGGGAATGAAAGCTAGTTAGAAATTCTGAGTATGAGGGTAGGGCCTGTCCACGCAGAGCTCCACTGAGGGTGATCCAAGTAGGCTCTTTAGTAGGAACCTCTGATGTGGAGGACTCTGGTTCTTTTCTCCTGGGTTGGTCATTTTCCTCTGAGAAGAGTCTTATCTCCTCCCTAGAGGATGAGGATCTGGGAGCCAAGTAGGAGAAGAGGAGGGGGTACTCTCTGTGTAGCATTCATTCTACCTTCAGGCACTGCTCCCTTTCCCCATTTGGGCGTGGAAGCCCTGCTCACTTGTGCCAGGTATCCCCTCTGTTACAGGATCTGTGTCCCCTTAGCGCCCGTGGTTCTTGGTCACGCCACTTCGAAGAATGAAGAGGTAGATCAGACCAAGTGTAGTGGGCAGCAAAGTCTATTGAGCAGGAGTATAAACCTCCCAGAGAGGGGAGGGGAGCCCAAGTGGGTTGCCCCCAGAGTGTCTAAGTTTAGAAGGTTTTATGAGCTCTTTTACAGAACTCTCTTAAGCAATCAGGGTGTGCTGAGTCACACCAGTCAGAGTTTGATCATGTATCTGTCTGCCAATTAGGGTTAATGCCTCTGTGCTGATGGTCTTTTTTTTGCTGACTCTTGGGGGCTTATGTCTTCACTGCCCCTTGCCCAGGATAGAGACAAATGGTTTGTGGTTAATCATCTTATTTTAGGACATTTTGCAGAAGTCATTTTTGCAAAGGCTGCAAAACAGAATGCAAGTGTGGTCCTATCTAAGCTGTAAAACAGGATGTTAGTGCTGTTTTAGCCATCCTGCTTCCATATTTTCTTGTTGGGGACCCTGGCCCTGACCACCTACCTGTCCAACTGCTAACACATCCAGAGACCTTTTGTGTTACCCTCGCAAGGAAACACCCCCAGACCGATGGTGGGAATACACAGGAGGACAGTTGTGGAGGAACAACAAGAGTGGAATCCAGCTGCTGCTTTAACAGCTTGTATTCATTCTTTATTTTTTTTTTCCTATTGAGGATTAAGTGCCGCAAATTGGGTAATTCCTCATTGCCTGTTGCCTTCGAGACTTGGCATTCTTGGTTCTGCTAAGTCTTTTACCACCCTATATTCCTGATTCCAAAATTATGTTGTTACATTTCTTCTGCTGTCTCTCTGTCCTTCAGAATTTAAATCTTTTTTTTTTTTTAATCCATTCACTGTAGTTTTACTGTGGTTTGCAGGGAGCAAAATTAGATGCGTCTATTGGACCTATCATTAACCTGGAAAAACATGAGCAACAATAATAGCAAACAGCATTGCCTCCCTTGTGCCAGCCACTGGCTAGGTGCTCAGTATAATTCAGCCTTTCAGTTTAGAAGTCTGAATAACTGATTTTTGTCAACTCTCATAAAAAATCCGTTGGAAATTGAGACTTCCAAATGAAGTGTTGACTTTAGTCTGTTTATTTCACCTCTAATAAATTCGCACAGAGGCAGAGAACAGCAGACCCATAGAGGAGATGTATGTTTGGCTGTTTTCTTTAACCTCATCATTTTCCTCTTTGGATGTGTCTCCCCAGAGGACTGTGCTCCAGCTGCTGCATTCAAAGAGCGAGGTAGTACGGCAGTACATGGCCCGGCTCATCAATGCTTTTGCATCCCTGGCAGGAGGTAAATCATTAGCTTTTCTTCAAAGAGAACAGCTAGGTCTTATTTAAGGCATTTTGTTCCTCTGAAAGCAGACATTCTTCTTCAGGTTTCTTAAAGACACTGTATATTTCCTCAAGAGATCCCTGTGCAGTGCATCGAAGGGGTCTTTTGCAAATTGGTTGTTGTCATATTGCTTAGTTTATGTCAGAGCAAATTTTGATGGTTTTAGAGTTTATTCCATAAGCCTTCTTATTTTATTTTAAAGCTTCCTGGTTTTGTTAACAGTACTAGTTAGATTGTCTTCAAGTATATAACAGGTGATGCATTTTCTATAATTTTTTGCTTAAGGCAAAATAAGGTTAGTGAAATAATCAAAGCTGATCCCCCAAAGCACTACACCATTTCCTTCAAAAGAGTACAACCTCTTGGGACACTTGGCTGGCCAGGTCGGTGGAATGTGTGACTCTTGATCTCTTGGGATTGTGAGTTTAAGCCCCACAGTGGGTATAGAAATTACTTAAAAATAAAATCTCAAACAAAAAAAAAGTAGATAACCAAGCAGATCTGAATTCCAAAGATAATACATACCAAAGCTGAATTCAAAATGATTTTATGGAGTATCATTATCTTCTATAAGTTCTACTTTGTTTCAGCTTTTTAAATGTAAATAAAGGGAGTTTTCAAATTATGAATATACGATACTCCAAAAGTTGGTTCACTCATTCATGTGCTTATTCTTCCATCCATTTAGCAGACATTTATTATGAGTGAGGGTGCATGCATTAACATTATCAAGACACATGTCCACAACAGGCTAGTGATAACTCAGGGCTTCTTGTAGGGTCGCAGCTATGGTTCCCAACTCCTCCAAGCCACAGGGTGTGTCTAGAAGGAGCAAGGAGTGTGGCCAGAAAGCACTACTGCTTGGCTGCCTCTATTATAAAGACTAAGGGACCCAAAACATTAGAGATTCCTTATTCTCTTTCTCCTGGTAGATCTGGCAAGGCTCCCCCCAAAAGCATAGTGATGAATTATGTTTAAATATTTTTTGTTTATTTATTTTAGAGCAAGTGTGTATATATGTGAGCAGGGATGGGGCATAGGGCGAGAGAGAGAGAAGCAGACTCTCTCCTAAGTGCAGAGCCCAACTCTGGGCTCGATCTCACAACTTTGAGATCATGACCTGCACTGAAATCAAGAGCCGGAGACGTAACCAGCTGAGCCACCCCGGTGCCCCATGATGAATTATGTTTTTATTATAAGTAGAGTGGTTTTCTCTTCATTAGATAGTTAATTGAATAAAACCAACTTTGCAGAAGAAATATGTTTTAAGTTTTTTTTTTAATTTTATTTATTTATGATAGGCACACAGTGAGAGAGAGAGAGAGGCAGAGACACAGGCAGAGGGAGAAGCAGGCTCCATGCACCGAGAGCCCGACGCGGGACTCGATCCCGGGTCTCCAGGATCGCGCCCTGGGTGCTAAACCGCTGCGCCACCCAGGGATCCCTGTTTTAAGTTTTTTAGAACCTAAAATTACCCAAGCTCTACATGTGTTACATGCAAAGTTTTCCTAGAAAGTGGTTTTGGGGCAGCCCGGGTGGCTCAGCAGTTTAGCGCCGCCTTCAGCCCAAGGCGTGATTCTGGAGACCCGGGATCGAGTCCCATGTCGGGCTCCTTTCATGGAGCCTGCTTCTCCCTCTGTGTCTCTGCCTCTCTTTCTCTCTGTGTCTCTCATGAATAAATAAATAAAATATTAAAAAAAAAAAAAGAAAGTGGTTTTGGAACATACACTTAAGATAAATTCTTTCACTTGTGCATCTTTCACTTGTGCATCTCTTTCACTTGTGCACTTATATTACTAGGTCGCCTCTACCTGGCCCAGAGCACAAAGGTGCTGCGGATGCTGGAGGAAAGGCTGAAGGAGGAGGATGAGGACATCGTCACCCGTGAGAACGTTCTCGGGGCCTTGCAGAAGTTCAGCCTCAGGTGCTGACCAGGCAGGAGGTCACAGTGGCTCCTGTGAAACAAAATAGGGCTTCTGTGAGAACCGCTTAGTCCCTGTGGCAGTCCAAGATCCAGATGACATTTTCTGTTAATGTTTAGGAGAGGTTGGGTGATTTTCCAAGATAGAACTAGAAAGCTTATCTTGAATCCTCGACACCCTCCTGCTCCAGCTGCTGCGGAAGGAGGAAGCTCTGTCATGGTCTTCTCATGAACACAGCTGGTGCTGGCCAGAGGCTGGATTGTGTTTCAGGCCACGTGCATGGTATAGAGACGAGCGCGTGAATAAAACCTGATAGAGCTCACTGCCTGCAATTGGCTCACTGCCTGTAAATAAATGGCCACAGTGGGTGTGGTGGGTAGCTCTGTGGAAAACAGGGTGGGGGACTCCTGCTTCTTTGTCCACCCTGTGGTTCGTGGTCTCCATCTGGACCATGTCAGGACTTGGATCTTGTATCCACCTAGAGCTTTGTTTTCATTAATAGCTTTATTGAAGTGTACGCTCATAGCACAAAATGCACCCCTTTCAAGTGTGCCGTTCAGTGATTTTTTTAGTAGATTTACAGAGTTGTACAACCATCACCACAAGCTAATTTTAGAACATTTCCATCCCCACACAAAGAAGCCTCATGCCCATTTCCTGTCCTCATTCCAGTCCCAAGTAACCACGGATTTGCTTTTCGTAGTGTTACCCATAATGGACATTTTTAGATAAATGCAGTCATATAATATGTGTTCTGTTGTGACTGGCTTCTCTCGCCTAGCATAGTGTTTTTGAGGTTCATTCAAGTTGTAGCCTGTGTCAGGACTTTGTTCCTTCGTAATGCTGAAGAATGCACCGTTCTATGGATAGACCATGTTTGGTTTATCTGTTCATCAGTTGATGGACATCTGGATTGTTTCTACTTTGGGGCTATCACAGATAATTGTGTTCTGAACATTTGCCTACAAGTCTTTGTGTGGACCTGGAGTCGGTCCGTGTCTAGGAGTAGAATAGCTGAGTCATATGACATTCTTCCAGCATGTGGGTTCCTTCTGGAGCACCTCACTTTCTCTTTGCCTTAATAAGAATTTTAGTACCTTGAGTCCTCAGCTTTTTCTGACCATCAGTCCTCTTCTGGACATACTTTTCTTCCTGTCCAATGTTGTTAACATTCGATTGACTCTCGATAACCCAAAGCCTGCAAAGTGACTTACTCTAAGTGTGCACTTTTAGTGAAGGAAAGTGGTAGGTGTTTGGTTCCTGTTTTTTGCTGAGTCCCTGCCAATGAAAAGTTCTTGTTCTAACTATGTGAACTGTAAATAGTAAATTCCAGAGTTATTTTTCCTCAGATCATATGAACACTTGGTTTCTGTTTATAATTTACCTTGATGTTGACCATATTTGGAAAATTTTTGGAAACTTGGTAACTATAGTAAGATATAATGAAGACATGCTTCCTCCTGGTAATACAGATATTTACTGCCAGTTTTTTCTGTGCTTCAAATAGTAATAAGTTATTCTGTTCTGGAAATATGCTTAATGTTTTCGCCATTTGCTAGGGTTTGTGCAATGAATGTAGAAAATAGTTAGGATTACCAAGAGAATGTAGCCTTCATTGTATTCTAGTAAATTTAACTGATGAGGTGAGTGTGGTGTTTCAGAAAAGCACAAACTAGCACCTGGCTGGCTCGGTGGGTGGAGCATATGATTCTTGATCTCAGGTTGTGTGAGTCTGAGCCCCATGATGTGTGTAGAGATTACTTAAAAATATAAAATCTTAAAACATATATATATATATATCATAAACAGATACTGTCCTGGGTGGGAGTCCTACCATAACCTGTTGATTAGATGTGAGTGATGGTTCCCCCATGGTGTTTTGATGTTCAAAGAATTCTTCTCTGGTGATATCATCATGCCTAATCTTATCAATTCTTGCAGGGCAGGGAGGAGCAGATAGAGAAGGAGAGAGAATCTTAAATAGACTCCACGCTGTGTGTAGAGCCAGACATGAGGCTTGATCTCACAATCCCGAGATCATGACCTGAGCTGAAATCAAGAGTCAGACGCTGCACTGAACTGAGCCACCCAAATGCCCCTAATCTCATCAATTCTTAAAGCTGGCATGAAGACATTCACCATAACACATTTTGATGAGTGTTAGATTTTGTAAGAATTATACCTGGACTTTGATGGAATATAATTCTGTATAAATTGTATTGCCCACATCATTAAACTATCCATACTTTACAGAGACCTGAATCAAAATGAAATTGAGCTGGTTTTTGGCTTTTCTTCGTTTTTACACAGCTCAAAAGTGCCTAGCCAGACTAGAGTTTACTAAAAATCTATTTGTCGATGAACTATTTCTATGGCTGTCTCCTGGGTGAAGCTATCAGTAAATATTTATTAAATATTTGAAGTAATTCTCTGCTAACTTTAAATATTGAAAAAGAAACTTTCAAAGGAGAAGGCCTCCTGACTGCCTTATCTCCCTCTAAATCCTTAGGGATACCCGCAAAAGGTAAAGAATTTGTTATTTCAATTGTGGGAGTCTAACAACAAAATATTCTTCAGAGTCTGTACCTTCTGCACAGTTTGTCTTGTCTTTTTTTCTTAAGATTAATTAATTAATTATTTATTTATTTTTTATGATAGCCACAGAGAGAGAGAGAGAGGCAGAGACACAGGCAGAGGGAGAAGCAGGCTCCATGCACCGGGAGCCCGACGTGGGATTCGATCCCGGGTCTCCAGGATCGCGCCCTGGGCCAAAGGCAGGCGCCAAACCGCTGCGCCACCCAGGGATCCCAAGATTTATTTATTTATTTGAGAGAGAGCAGAAGGAGAGGGAGAGAGTCCTCAAGCAGACTCCTCACGGAGCACAGAGCCTGATGGGGGTGCTCGATCCCAGGACTCTGAGATCATGGTCTAAGCCTAAACCCAAGAGTTGTATGCTCATCCGACTGAGCCACCCAAGCACCCCATCAATTTGTCTTTTCTGATCAGCATGCACATCACCATGTACTCTTACAGGGAAGGTTTCTTGCCAGATTTGTTAACCTGTAGGCTTTTGCTTCCTAGGCGCCCGCTGCAGACGGCAATGATTCGAGACGGCCTCATCTTCTGGCTGATTGATATTCTGAAGGACCCTGACTGCCTGTCAGACTATACGCTGGAGTACTCGGTGGCTTTGCTCATGAACCTCTGCCTCAGGAGCGCAGGTCTCAGAATCCCCTGTCCCCGTGCCCTCAGGCTTTGGTGTGGGGGAGGGGAAGAGAGGCCTGGTCCTCAAGCCTTGATGACCACCCAGCCTTACATGGTTTGCCTTTAGTCTTTCTTATAGAAAACTGAAACAGGGGCAGCCCCTGTGGCATAGCGGTTTGGCACTGCCTGCAGCCCGGGGTGTGGTCCTGGAGACCTGGGGTCGAGTCCCACGTCGGGCTCCCTGCGTGGAGCCTGCTTCTCTCTCTGCCTCTCTCTCTCTGTGTGTGTCTCTATGAATAAATAAATAAAATCTTTAACGAAAGAAAGAAAGAAAGAAAGAAAGAAAGAAAGAAAGAAAGAAAGAAAGAAAGAAAGAAAGGAAGGAAGGAAGGAAACTGAAACAGAAGTAGAGAGTAAAACATTTCCAACTAGTAATACAGTTGTTGAATCCCTGAAGCCAGATACCATTCTGGCCTTGGAAAGAGCATTTTATATGTATGCAGTGTCTGAATTAAGAGGAAATTAAAACAGTTTACATTTTTCTTCATCTTCATCTTTGAAGTTAGGAAGAATTATGATCCATTCTGTCCAAAGACAGAGAAATATGTTTCCAAAATTCTACAGGGATAAGTAAGTTGGTGGCAGAGCAAGGATGTTAGACTGTGCTCCCTTCTCCTAACCACAGCAGTCTCTCCCACTTAACTCCGGGGAGATGAGATACTCATGTGCACATCTCATTTGATCAATAAAGGTAGTGATAGCAGCTTTTCTACAGATTTCATCCCATTTAAATGATCTGTTACCTAGACTGGAAGAAGTGTCTTTATTTTATTTATTTTTTTAAGATTTTTTATTTATTTATTTCTGAGAATACACAGAGAGGAGAGAGACAGGCAGAGGGAGAAGCAGGCGCCATGCAAGGAGCCTGACGTGGGACTCGATCCCGGGTCTCTAGGATCAGGCCCTGGGCCAAAGGTGGTGCTAAACCACTTGAGCCACCAGGGCTGCCCAAGAAGTGTCTTTAGAAGAGGTGCCAAGTGCCTGTGGCTGATACCAGTCTGAGCAGCCCCAGTTTTGGGAGAAGGTTATATGAATAAATAGCTCAGGGGTATATGTTAAAGCTTTTTTGCCCTTGGATGCTTTGTAATCTGAACCACTCATGTGCTGTTTACTGAGCAAATGTGATTCCAGTCTTCTCTTAAAAAACAGCATATGCAAAGCAAATATCCTAACTTTAAAACATTTATCAGATTCTAATCAGCTTTTCTTAATATCATCAATGTATTTGCTGTGATTGTTATGATGTTTGGATTGGCGAAAACATCTGTATGATTTTTATGATGATGGTCTGCACACCTGGGAGGCAGAACATAGCTCTCTAATCTATTGTGTTTTTGCTGTCATGAATAGCTCTCTGTTCTCTGCACCATCATTTACTGAGTACCTGGAGTGTACAACCTATACTGAGTTTCTTCATTCTGCATCACCTTTTGAAATAGGTATTAATAGTCCTTAAGGAACCCCAGGAGGAGGAAACTGGGGCCCAGATTGGTTAAGTGACTCACCCAGGGTCACGCAATTCATAAGCAGAGGACCCAAGATTTGCATTCAGGTCTGCCCGACTTGAAACTGTGTGCTTCGGAGTTTAAACATGTCACATTTTGTTTCGTTGTTTTTTCTCAAGGGAAGAACATGTGTGCCAAGGTGGCAGGCCTGGTGTTGAAAGTTCTTTCGGACCTACTTGGCCATGAGAACCATGAGGTACTGGGCCAGTGCTGCTAGCCTTGGGCTTGGGGGAGGGCTGGTGCAGCTAGTGAGTGAAGTTCACTCCTCCAAATACTGGAACTGGGAAGCTGGAGTTGATCCCCGACTCCTCATTTCCTACTGCCCTGCCTCCACGGGTCTGTGCCAGCTGCCTCCCAGGCCTTCTCCTCCTTGTCACCCACCCTTCTTCATTCTTCCCCCACGTCCACTCTCACCATGGTGGTATGTGGCCTGAAAATTTAGTTAAAATTTTGTGTTGCATGTATAATCGTGTAAATTGTATTGCACTCTAGATCTCATTCTTTTCTTGCCTTTTCACTATCCTTTTAGAACTTTTCTGTGTTGCTTTGTATACATCTCATTCCTTAACTCTCGCTACTGCAGAACAGCCCATGTTTGCAGCCCTCCCACCCAGATCCCCAGGCCTGTCCACCTCAGTGCCTCCAGCTCTCAGTCGCCACAGCAGGCCTCAGGACACCACCATACTGGCCCCCTAATAGTCCCTGGTGTACAGACATACTCATCACTGCTGGCTCACCCCGTGTTTCAGTCTCAGGTCGGAGTCCTGCCACTCTGTCCTACAGCATGGCTGTACCAGCTCCTACTCTCCTCCGTGGCCTCCCCAACACTGGTGTGATTTTCTGTCCTCTAACCTATGGGCTGCAAGCCCTTTTAAAATAAAGTAGAGATCTTGATAAACTAACAGAAACTTCTAAACAGTGTGAGTATCCTTTCACCGGTTTTCTACAGATGCTTACACAGAAACCATGGCATCACTTTGCACCTGAAGCCAAAGCCCCAACCAAAACCTGATCTCGTTAGCCAGATCAGGTGCAGGGGTATCTTAGCAGGACAGGACTGAGTACTGCTGGGTCAGAGTGAGGCACTTAGTATTCCTGCATCCGGTCCCATTTCAAGCAGCTCCCCTTCTGTTCATTTCTCTCACATCTTCCATCCATCTGGCCCCACCAGCTGAGTGCCCCGGGCTGCTTCAGCAAGTGAAGAGTTGGTGGTTAGTACAGTGTGTGCCATGCTTTTTATATTTTAAAATCAAGAGCTCTTAACTTCTAGACTCTGTTCTCCATTTTATTCAATTAAGGCAGTTGAAGCCTGTGGGAAATATATTTTGTCTCTAATAGTAAATGTTGGTTTCAAGTGTTGGAACCAGTATGTTACAGACTAGACCAGAGGACTTAAATCTTGTTATAATTGTTACAAATATATTTGCCTTGAAGGTGAGCTAGAAAATCTACCTGTACACATGTTAGAACCTAGAAATGCATTCACTACATAAATAAATGCTACATACATCAGTCTTGTGTGAGATAATCATGATCTTGAAGGATGAAACCCAGGAGCCATAAACGGAAAGATGCACATATTTGACTCTGTGAACATTAAATTTCTTTTTATGTAGAAAGAGGAATAAGAGTGGACAAATGATACCCTGAGAAAAAATTTGCATCACAGGATAAAGGTGTAATACTCTTTATATATGAAGAGCTCCTATTAATTAATAAGTGAAAGAAGAAAAGGATAAAGTACACGTGGGCAGTTTACAGAACAGTAAATCCTGATGACCTGTAGACAAAGGCAAGATGTTTAGTTTTGCCAGTAGTCCAGAAAATTAAAGTAAGAACAACAATAAGATGACTTTTTCTTTACCCATCAGATTGGCAAAAATTAAAGGGTAATAAAGTCCAGTGCTGGGAAAGAACGGTGGGAATGGGCCCTCCTCCATTGCCATGGAAAGTGGAGCATAAAGTGTGCTCCAAAAGGAGCTCTCATTTATCAAGTACCTGCCATATACCATGTCCTGGGTGGCTTGATGTTGGGGTTACCTATGTACATAAAACATGGGCCCAGTTCTTGAAGAGCTCACAACAGGGGAGGCTTAAGTATAAATAAAAAATATATACTGAATCCAGTGTGGTAGTGGAGGGATCTACAGGGAGCAGAGCAGAGTGTGGTGTGTGGCGAGGGGCCCCGTAAGTACTGTGGGATTGATCTGTACAGTGTAGCCTACATGGTGGCAGGCAGGAAGGAGCAGGGGGACATGATAGTGAGGCCAAACCTTGAAGGGCCATGTGTGCTGTTCCAAGGAGTTAGGACTTTCCAGGTAGGCTCTAGAGAAGATTTCCAAGGTAGGAAGAGGGATGATTTGGCCCATGTTGCAGAATTTTGGCAATGATATAATTATTGAACTAAAGAGTGAACATCAAAGACAGAGACCCTTTTGGAGATTCAGTGTCACCCAGGTCACAGACCATATCTGAACAAGGACAGTGACGGTGTGTGTGGAAAAGAAGAGTTCCTATCAAAAGCAGCTTAGTAGCTCATCACTGGAAAGCAAAAGCAAGAGCATTCAATAACGACTCCAGTGGTTCTAGTCTGATGATCAGCACGACATTAGTTAAGCAGTGAAACACAGGAGTGAGCTTTAGGAGCCAATAATGAACTCGGCTTTGAACTTAGTTGTAGCTGTCACTAGGACATGTGAATGGAAATATCTGTGATTTGGAAACACGCATCCTGGAGCTCAGGAAGATGGCACTCATTCTCCTCGGTAGCCAGGTTATTCTTGAGTAGGGTGTTTGATCGTTGAGTTGTACAGTATTTGAGAACTTGCACATGACTGTTCTTTCTCCCCTTAAAGATACAGCCGTATGTGAATGGAGCTCTGTACAGCATCCTCTCTATTCCATCCATTCGTGAGGAAGCAAGAGCAATGGTAAGAAAATGTGCTTGAGAAATTTATAAGCTTCCGTCAGTGCCACGGTTCAGAAGCTATTAGAGCAAGGAGCTCTCAGACTGTGCTCCGTGCACCTTGGGCTCCGTGGCTTGCACATGTGAACTCCCTGAAATTGTATGCCAAGCACACATTTGCAGTTTTCTGGGGAGAGAATCTGTAGCTTTTATCAGATTCTCAAAGGATCCCTAACTCCTAAATCTTAAGAACTTCAGTGTTAGAGGGATACCCGAGTGGCTCAGGCAGTTGAGCGTCTGACTCTTGATGTCGGCTCAGGTCATGATCTCAGGGTTGTGAGACTGCGCTCCACATTGGGCTCCACGCTGGGTGTGGGGATTCTCTCTCCCCTCTCCCCTTCGCTCATGCTCTCTCTCTCTCTCTAACAACAAAAAGAAAAAAACTAATGTTAGAAAGTTCCCAGCAAGCTTATTTTTAGAAAGTTAGAGATATTTTTTATTTTTTTATTTTTTAGGATTTTATTTATTTATGAGAGACAGAGACAGAGAGAGGCAGAGACACAGGCAGAGGGAGGAGCAGGCTCCATGCAGGGAGCCCAATGTGGAACTCCATACCAGGACTCCAGGATCATGCCCTGGGCCGAAGGCAGGAGCTAAACCACTTAGACACCCAGGGATCCCCTAGAGACATTTTTTTAATGGCTTATTTTAATTTGGAATCTTTTGGGAAAGCCTATGGATTTCATAGTAGGGGGAGCTTAAATGGTGAAATGGAAAAAGCCACCACTGAAATGCACTCCCAGGATTCCCAGAGGGCCTGTGGTACAGTGAGAACTGATGCAGACCAGACACAGCCTGCAGGTGCTCAGCAGCCAAAGGAGGCAGAAACCCTCATAAAGATGACAAAACTGGTACCTGGTTTGGCTGGCAAAGAGTAAATGCAATATTTAATGTGTTTAGTGTTTGTATCGGGAGTGTAAAACAAGCTCCAGGTGATTAGCATCTTTTGAGACAACAAGTGTTTCTAGATCTAATCAGCAAAAGCACTGAAGTTTTGTCCTTTTTCCTGTAACATGAAACTAGGTTAACAGTGTACATATTAAATGCTATGATGAAGAGATTAAATATTTCCAGTCAAAAACTGGCCAAGTTCAGTTTGAGACCAATGAAACATGTTTCTCCACTTAATTTTGCTTCCTTAGAAGAATTGCTAAATCTCCTAATTAATCATCTAAAATTGTATCAGCAGTTATGCCAGAGATAAAAACTTAATTAGGAGCCACTCTGTGTGGTCATAGTAAACAATGGAACTTAATTGCCTATTTCTTTAAAAAATAAAATAAAATCTGCTATTTTAATACAGAATGGAGGAACTAAACTTGATTAACCTCTGCATTATGGTCATTCCAGTGAGAGGAATTGTCAACCAAAGCAGAAACAAGGAAAAAGACATGTAGGCTGAAGAGAAAGAATGAGCAGAGGTGGTATGGATCAAGTAGCATGAAAGGCAGCATGGAGGAAGGACACCCAGGGCGAGGGGTGGAGAAGAGAGGAGGGAACAGCAGTAAAGGGACAGGGCGTGGGTGGGGAGGAAAGACTCACGGTTGTAGGATGTGAGAGTGTGACCCTTAGAGATCATCCAGGTCATAGAGAAAAAATATGGAGGAAAGGGACTGTGCCTCAGAGACCTGGGGGAACGATACCCAGAGGTCTCACACTTATGTACCTGGAGTCCAAGGAAAGGAGAATATGGCATAATAAGAACTCTGTGTTTGCAACTGTGTGAAACATTTCTGTGCTTGTGGAAGATGACAAAGAATACATAAAAATTATATCAGTACCGAATGCTATTGTGGTGGTCTTAAATAATAGTTCCCAAAGTGGAGGAAATAATAAATGAGTGCACTGAGCCTCATTTGAACTTGAAGAGACTGCCAAGGTCTGGGGCAGGGGAGCAGTTCGGTCAGTAGGGCTGCCCTCAGGCCTCCTCCAAAGCCTCCTGCATCTAGGGCTGGAGCAGTTGTCAGCCACAAAGCTCTTTCTTAAAATTTAAACCCCAGCCAAACACTCTGCCCTGAGCTAGAGCAGACTGCGGCCCTCTTGGCACCCTCTTCCTTGATCCAAGGACCATCCAGAGCTGTCCTTCAGGTTCTCTGTGCACTTACCTAGCTCTGCCTATCAGTTAATGCTCCTTTTCTCCAAGATGCCGTCCTAAGCCTCTCACTCTTCTGAATGTTGTTTACTCCCTCGGCTTCAGCTACCAGATCTCTCTTCTAAGCCACCAAATTCTTCTGAGAATAGCAAGCACAATCTTAACCATTTTTTGAGCATGTGTTATGTGCCAGCAGCTGGACTAGATAGGACTTTTTTAGGTATAATTTATGAGCAGTGAAATGCACAGGCCTTACGTATACAATTCAGTGCATCTAACAAACATGCATCAACATAACCGGTACCCAATTTACATTCTTTATCTTTTAAAAATTTCCTGTTAACTCGAGTTGCCATCCTTATTTTAGAGTTGAAGTCACAGGCTGGGAGGAACTAAGCAGTTTGACCAAGGTCACACAGTTTCCTGAGGGAGTTCAGATACAATCCAAACTTAACTCTCTAGGAGGTAATGCTCTGTTCTAGACGATAGGAATTCACCATGTTCAAAACTGCACTTGGCCTGTCTTTGATTCAAATTCCGCTATTGATTCCAAACAGGCCTACATTAAAAGAGGGAAATATTGGCTTATTCCACTGAAAAGTTCAGGCATAAGATTCAGGCAGAGCTCGATCAGGGTTCACATGTCACCAGATCCATTTCTCTCTGCTTCCTCTGTTTTGGATTCATTGTGCTGGCAAGAAGCATCATCAGCTCCTGCCATCCATGCTCATCCACATCTCTCTCTGGGAAAGAGGGAAGAGGAAGAGGGAAGAGGGGAAACAGACATCTGTGCTTGAGTCAGTATCTTACCTCTACATTTCCTTGTCCTTCTGTTAGTACCGAAAGTTCTGTTGCTAGTGGTTTGTAACAAAATAAATAATGCACAGTGTAGAAACTTTGTAATTCTTTTGATAGAAAAAGAATGATAGGGCAGCCCCAGTGGCGCAGTGGTTTAGTGCCGCCTGCAGCCAGGGGTATGATCCTGGAGACCCGGGATCAAGTCCCATGTCGGGCTCCCCGCATGGAGCCTGCTTCTCCCTCTGCCTGTCTGTGTCTCTGCCTCTCTCTCTCTCTCTATGAATAAATAAATATTAAAAAAAAGAATGATAGCTGTTTAAAAAGAGGTTCCACTTACTAACTTCTCTACAGATGTGGTTTCACTCTTCATTTTGTGCTTAAATCCAGAAGGAAGAGTATAAAGAAATCACAAGAAAGAAGCTACCTCCCAAAACAACATACTACCGGAATACTTACGCATGGAGTAAAATTTTACAATAGTTTCTTTTTCACTTATTATCAGAGTGTAGTTGACATACAGTGTTGTGTTAGTTTCAGATGTACAATATAGTGATTCAGCAAATCTGTACAGTAGCCAGTGCTCATCAAGATGAGTACAGTCACCATCTGTCACCATACAACATTATCACAGCATTATTGACTATATTCCCAATGCTGTACTTTTTATCTCCATGCTGCTTATTTATTTTCTAACTGGAAGTTCATGCCCCTTAATTTCCCTTCACCTATTTCACCCATCCCCCCTCTTCCACCCTCTGGCAATCCCCAGTTCTCTGTACAATAGGTTTTTTGTTTGCTAAATGTTTTATAATTAGGTCAGATAGTCAACCAAGAGTAAAATAATTTAACTGTTAATTGTAAAAAGAACAAACAGAATATTTAGCACTGGGATGCCTGGGTGGCGCAGTGGTTGAGCATCTGCCTTTGACTCAGGTCATGATCCTGGGGTCCCGGGATCAAGTTCCACATTGGGCTCCCCACAGGGAGCCTGCTTCCCCCTCTGCCTGTGTCTCTGCCTCTCTCTCTCTGTCTTTCATTCATGAATGAATGAATGAATAAATAAATAAATAAATAAATGAATGAATTTTTAAAAACCATTTAGAACTGAGCAGAGGAATTTTTATTGTGTATGTCCCCCCTTCTCCCCCAAAAAAGGGTTTTTTGTGTTGTTTCAGTGAGAGTATTCATTCCACTGGAAACTAATTTCTCTTGTAAACAAACAAACAAAATAACCCTGAAATATTGACTTTTACTCTCTTCAATGCCCCTAGGGAATGGAGGACATCCTTCGCTGCTTCATCAAAGAAGGCAATGCTGAAATGGTCCGCCAGATTGAATTTATCATCAAGCAACTTAATTCAGGTTCGTTCATCTATAATCTATCTTTTGCATCTTTCACACGTGCCAGAAAGATACATGGGCTTGTCATGCCTTGGAATTCATTCAAGAGGTTTTAAGGGAGGCGGGAGATCCAAGTGAACCCACCAACAAAAGTTTGACCAGGTAGTCAAGACCAGTCTGTCCCAAGACCAGCTATCTCTCATCACACATTAGGCTTATAGTCAACAAAAATAATTCAAAAACAATCACAAACACCCTGCTCTAACCTTATATTCTCTTTATGTGGGCCTCCCCTTCCTAATTCTTTCCTCACCTCGTAAGGCTTCCCTGGGGTACTAGGGTTGGATAAGGAAAACAAGTGCCAGTCTCCCTAGTACCACTACATAAAACATCATTCTCCTGCATGTGTTCATTCCTTCAAGAAAAATTTATATTGCCTACTGGCTCCACGGGAGAATATGATCCTCTTTCTCTCTGGCTTTGTCCATCACATTGGTAATCTACATCCCATAGTAAGCAGGAAAAGAAGGTGCAGGAAACCTTGGATGGGACCAGGATGGACAGGGAGGTCTGGCTCTTATGTGGACTCCTGACATTTTGGTCCTGATTCATACACATGTCAGAGGCATGAGCACTGCCAGCATCTGGGGCTAAGGTTGTCACTTCTGTCTTTCTACATGCCCTTTCCCGACATTCTGCAGTCCACATCACTATAAGTCCAGGTGCACAGGTCCCACTCAGCACATGAGCAAAGGTGAAAAATGAATCTCCTGATCTCTACTCCCAAGTCAGCAGCTTGAGCAAGGCCAAGAAATAGGTAGTGGCCAGAAGCCATTCACTCAAAGAAGCCTGAGCCACATGTAGCAGTCACCTGAGGAGATTTTTAAATCCCCAGGGCAGCACCCAATGCTAGTAAAACTGGATTCCCTGGGGGAACTCCAGGTGTGAATAGTGTTTAAAACTCCCAGATAATCCCCACATGCAGGCAAAGTGGCATATCCCTGCCTCTGACCTGCGCAGAAATGGAGAGGCAGAGAGAGGACATCAGAGGTTCCTGATCGACTGGAAGCAGCTGGGAGAGCAGCCAGTGAGGTGGGAAACCCGGCTTCCTTCAGCCTGGGGCCAGTTTCCGTATGAGCATCTTCTCCCTTGGCTCTTACAGAGCAGAAATGATTCATCCCAAACTCAGGGAAGCAAGGAATAGAACTTTATTTTCTGCAACATCTTCATTTCTTTCTTTCTTTTTAAAGATTTATTTATTTGAGAGAGAGAGCAAGAGAGAAAGCACATGAGTGGAGGGAGGGAGAGAGAGAGAGAGAGAATCTCAAATAGACCCCACCCTTCCACTGAACACAGAGCCTGACACAGGGCTCCATCCCAGGACCCCAAGATCGTGACCTGAGCTGAGATCAAGGGACAGATGCTTAACTGACTGAGTCTATGCAACAGCTTCATTTCTTTTTTATTTTCTTTATAGATTTTATTTATTTATTTATTTATTTATTTATTTATTTATTTATTTATTTAGACAGCATGCATGCAGTAGAGAGAAAGAGCAGGAGTTGGGGGGGTGCAGAGGCAGAGGGAGAAGTGGGGAGGTTCTAGACCCACAGGGCTTGGTCCTAGAACCCTGGGGTCATGACCTGGGCCCAACTCTGGGGTCATGATCTGGGCCCAAGGCAGACGCTTGACTGACAGCCACCCAGGTGCCCCTGCAACAGCTTCATTTCTGACTTTGAACCCAATTGCCCAGCAATTCTGCTGGGCAAGCATATTTACAAAATAACACTAAATAAATACTTAGCCTCAGTTGGGGCTGAGCTTGCTCCTTAACCTTTTTAGAGTAGGCAACAGTTTGGGAAGAGGGGGAATGCAGGACCATTGGTCCCTATCTGCTCCATGCTCATCAGCCATGCTGAGACCTCCCTCTCAGGCCAGGGGTCCTCTGCAGCTTCAAGGATACATTTGGGCTGTGAATCTTCTTCAGAGCTAACTCTGTGTTTCAGTCTATTGAGACACACCCACCTCCATTTCCTTGTCAGTCTTCCCTCCTTTCTGGGAGCCAAGACACAGAGGGAGGTTCCGTCTTGCATTCTGTCCAAAACCATCTTTCTCTTATTTAAAACTGGTCCTTGAGCCAGCATGCTGAAGAATGTGAAGAGGGAGGGTCAGTTGACATTTACGTGAGGGATATGCTTGCCAAGAAGTTATCATGGGCAGAGCTCAAGCTTTATAACCTTGTGTATCCAGGAAAGGCTTCATATATACCTGCCTCTCTCAGTACGTTCCTGTTTAAATAAATAGTGTCAAAAGCATTTCTTTTTTCATCTCAAGCACTTAAGTCATTCTGGATCCATGGGAAAGTGGCAGGTCCCCAGAACCGATTCCTTAGGGGTCTGCTACTTTGAAACAAAATTAGAAAGTCATTGAATGTTTGGATGGAGGACCAGACATACACACACAAATACCTAAGAATATGTGTCATGAGCATGGACTCAGAATGAATGAATGTACCAGCATGGTGATGAAAGCCAGAGAGGAGAGAGCTGGAGTTTCCACCCAGTCCAGGCTTCATCCTCAAATGGATATTAACAGGGGAGTCTGAATTAGTAGCAGTTTACTGGTTGAAGAGACAAAAATGGCATTGCCACAATCTTTATTGATTGACTTTCTTGTTTTAGTATACACTTAAAACATGTATATGGGTTTCCATACATTCAAACATATCAGTTCTCTAGCACTATTTTTCTTATAAAGTTTTAAGGTTTCCAAATGGAAAAATTCTAGTATTTTGGGAACCTAACCCCACAGGTGGGGAAGAACTACTCTGGGAAACTTAAGGGAAAGCTGGTGACATAACGAGCAGAGACGACCGGCAACAATAGGGAGGTATGTCCATGATGGTGGCCCCCAGCGAGGGGGGACCAGCAGATCCTAGCCAGGCACTGAAGAGAGGATAGGAGCAGGGCAGAGCCAGCTTCACCAGCTGGGTCCTCAGGGAAGGAAGGGTACTGGCAGCTCTAGCGCTAGGTGCTGTCAGTTACTGGAGTGAGGGTGGCTGGTTGTGCTGCAACCCAGGGATCTATGGGAAACAGAGCTGATGGCCCCATCATGCTCTAGAGGAGAAGCTGAGGTTTTTTTGTTTTGGTTTGTTTAGGGGTTTGGTTTTTGTTTTTGTTTGGAGCTGAGGTTTATAAGGTACGTCAGTTCACAGGACTGGATTTTTCGGGGAAGAGGATGAATCCAAGCCAGTGGGCTCGGGGGAAAGGATGTGGCTGGACCAGCCTGGGGCCTCACAAAACATATAAGATTTTTTTTTAAAAAAGTGAGAGGGGGCATTCCATATTTGAAAAAGAAATGCTTGTAATTGATGAATATAGCAGCTACCTCATTCTGAAAGCCACTTGTTTGATAAGCATTTGCTGCAGGTGGCATGGAGTAGTGCTTCTCGTGTGCCAGGAAGCGATAGAAGCCAGGTAACGGAGCTTCAGCTCAAATGCAGGATGACATCATTTCCCCCTGCCTGCAGTGTAGTTTTCTTGACAGCAGTGGGGCCATGATGTGCACGGAAGCGTGCAGGCCCCTCTGAGGTGGGGCCAGATGGTGGTGTCCTACTGGCCTTGATCCAGCCAAGTCAATGGAGTCCTTTCCTTTAAAATGACAGTCGTGTCAAGGATGATGGGTGTCCTGGGGTTTCTATTTACTACAGTGCTATCTAGTACCTCTGTCTATAGTACTATCTAGTACTACTATCTACCGTAGTGCCTGTCTAGTACTATTATCTACTACAGTGCTGTCTAGTACTACTCTAGTACAGTGCTAACTAGAGAAAATGCTGAGTATGTTCAGTGGAGAGAGAGGTAACTGTTCAGTAAGGGATCAGGGAAGGCTTCATAGAGGAGAAAGTAAACCTGCTATGTCCCTGGCTCTGGGCCATGTGGTTTAGTTTTGGTGTGTTGTAAAAATCCCCTCAACCACCCTAGGAAGTAGATGCTCTGATACCCCTTTCACTGATGAAGAAACAGAGGCTCATTCTTTCTCTGATTCCATTTTGCTATTATCCCTCCTTTATGAACTCTTTTACAGTCTAACGGTGCACCACAGGAGCCTTCAGGAACCCAACCTGCCATGGCCCCTACCTCAGTCTCTGTGGAAAAATCATGAGATTTAGAAATAGACTTGAGTTGAATCTCAACTCTGTCACTTATGGGAGTACGACCATAAACAAGTCCCTTATGCCTCCATTTGCTATTTGCTATAGAATGGGGATTAAGAGTCAACAAAATCGTGGTAAGGAATAAATAAATAACATGTGGGACAGTATTCATCATGGTGCCCAGCAATACTCACTTACTTTCTTTCCTCTAAATTCCTCTCAAATTGTATGGTGACTTTTAACTTTTCCCATGCCACTAACACTGCATTCTGGTAAAAACAGGGAAAGAGGTTTAAACTGCTTAGGATGATCTCAGTCTGTGGCTGCACGGGCACCAGAAACCTGAATGTTCTGGTGCCACCTAATCCTCATTAGCCTGTTCACATGTCTCTGCAGCAGCTGAAGGATTTTGTTGGCCAAGGTTCCCTGCTGTATTCGCAGTTATTCATTTATTTTTTTCTTTATAGAAGAGCTACTGGATGGTGTTCTTGAGTCTGATGATGATGAAGATGAAGATGATGAAGTAAGTTGGAGGCTCTTGACACCACATAAAAAACTTGTGTGAAACTATTGCGTCTCTTCCCTGCCTTGAAGAGGTAGTCCAGAAATGGAGATTTCAATCCCTGCTGCCTTATTTCACACAGTTCTGAGAGTTGGCTAGAGCTCAGCTGGGTGGGTATCTGCTGGTCTCACATGGGATGTCATGTGGCTGCCTTCTGTGTCCAAGTTGGCCTCACATCCTCCATGGCCTCTCCATGTGGCCTCTAATCCCTCAGCCATCTAGCCTACACTTCCTTACCAGTTGGTGGCAAAGCTTCCAGTCTTCTTTTCCAGTCTCAGAAGTATCAGAGCATGTCTTCTGCTGGGTTCTGCTCAGTGCACATCACAAGACTAGCCTAGACTCCATCAACAGGAGGGCTCCAGGTGGGAGGACTTGTGGGTGGCCACCTCTGAAGACCACCAGCCACACCATGGGTGGATTTGCTACAGCCAGCACACAGGTGCCACGTTTCACAGCACCTGGATTTTATGGGAGGTTCAAAGACAGCAGTTCTTCAACATGAATCTTCTGCTTTGAAGGGGCACGAGCCTCCCGTGGTTGGGAAGATTGGGCACCAAGGCTCCCTGTGAGAATCTCTAAAGTGAAAGGCTTGCTTCAGGGCAGACAGAAGCAACTGCTTGACTCCTTTATTTGCATTGTTTTCATACGGGTTTCCTCAGTTGTGAAAAATCTGCTTACCTGGTTTTTTTAAAGCGTGAAGGTTCAGAATGAATGTGGGTGAGTCCTATGAAGTAGTATAGAGAATGGTGACTCACTGGCTGTAGAGGGATTTCTCAGGTGATAAGCTTTTTCCTTGTTTTTCCTTCAGACCTAGAAAAAACATACACATTACCCTCTTCAGTTCTCTGTAGTAATAATTGGTTTGCGTGCCTTCTGGGTTGTGGGGAGCAGTGACTCCCGAAATGAATGTGGAGGATAGGTTTCCACTTGGAGCTGTGGCCTCTGGGTTTCAAAGGTGTGTAGAAGTCAGGATCTTGTCCACTGATGGCACCAGTTGGGGGAGATAGGTCATTCATGAGCCCTCTACCGAAGCCTCCCCCTCTACCCCTGCCCCCACCCACCCATAGCCCTGAGGTCTGCCTGTGACTGTCCCTCCCACGGACAGCCTTCCACCTGCCACCTTCTTCCTGAGCTGTAGGTGGCACCAGCGGGTGCTCTTGCTGCGTCCACCTTCTTGGGCAAGTGCAGTTCTGGACCTCTGCTGGGGAGCCTGGCCAGCACCTTCTCTAGGCCCCTTCCTTTGGGAAAGTGGGTCCAGAGAGGGGAGGAAACCAGCCTAAGGTCACACAAAGTCGATGGCAGTAAAATCTGCTTTAGAACAGAGATTGGCAGACTTTTCTGTAAAGAGGAAAGTAGTAAATATTGTAGGCCACCCCATCTCTGTTTCAGCCACTCAGATCTGCCACTAAAACGCAAAGGAGCTGCCAGCAATACGTAAATGGATGAATGTGGCTGTGTTCTTGTAAAATTTATTTATGAACACTAAAATTTGAATTTCATTTGATTTCTGTGGGTCACTAAACTTTTTTTTTTCAAATGTTTAAAGATGTAAAACTTACTCTCAGCTTGCTGGCCTTTCAAAATCAAGCATCTTGGCCTCTGGGCCGTTATTTGCCAGCTGCCAGAGGGAACCCAGCTCCCTGAGTCTGTCTTCTCAGGACTGTGGTAAGACACCTGCTCTGTGCCTGGTCCTTCAGTTCTGTTTTAAATTATATTTTAAGTTAATATCTTATTTGATTCCAGTGAGTTTTTGTCATCATGTCCACAAGTTCCCCTCTTGAGATCTATCTTTCCTCCCCTTGTGTGTTACCTCTTTGGCCTTTTGTTTGCTTTGGATTTTTTGTTTTGTTCTGTTGCTGCCAACCCCTTTGTATCACAGAGGGAAATTCATTTGATTCAACTGTTCTGTTAACGATGGGAATTCCAACTTTGTGAACTATACCTGTGGAAGCAATTATAGTCTACTAAAAATGAAGGACGATCAAGATCTTTTATTTATCTATGTACTTTAAGATTTTATTTTTAAGTAGTCTCTATACCCAGTGTGGAGCTCAAACTCACAACCCAGAGATCAAGAGTGACACGCTCCACTAGCTGAGCCAGCCAGGCGCCCCTATAAAGATCTTTTAATTTTCTGGACTTTTGGCTATCTTGTGCAGATTTTTATTTTAAAAGGGTAGTGTTTGAAGATATTGGTTGTGATCATTAGAATTTTCAGAGGATTCTTAGATGGCGTTTAATTGGGAAATTGTAAGGAAAGGACCCGGCATTTGGGGCCAGAACAGGACTTTTTGGGCTGAACTTTGGTGAGCAGGTCCTGGACCCTCCCTCCCTTGTGACCCTGATGGCCTACCACACTGTTAGCAAGGGCAACATGGGAAAGGCTAAGCTGTCTGTGTTATACTCACCCTTCTCCAAGGGCAGATATGACTTTTTAAATTGGAAAGAAAAAGGAAAGTGAAAGATGCCTAGACTTGGACTAAAAGAAACTTCCAGAGATCATCTGAGCAAGTCCATCCAAGATGTTGGAATGTGGCTACCACCTCCCAGGTAAAATTATTTTATATGATCATATAAAATGATCATATGTCATTTTGCTTAGCAATGTAAAATATTTTCTTAATTTAATATTTAAACCCAAAACACAGGTGACAGAGCCAGTGTTTTCAGTGACCTGCTCCGTTCTTCTAAAGATAAAATGGCTCTATCAGGGTGTGGCCAGAAGCCAAGGGAAATTATGTTCATTTTGCCCTAAATCAAGTTAATATCTGTGCATTTGTGATTGTGGCCTCTGGTCCTAGTCCCCTGGAAACTCAAGAGAACTTCCAGATGCAAAATCTTATTTTTCTAATTTCTAAAAGTATGACAACTTGTCCTGATGTGCTGGACGTGTGTGACATATATACATTTACCTACAAAAATTTAAAAATTGCTTTTTTGACTTCCAAGACTGTCTAGGGTACAAAGTCAAATAGGAAAAGGAACTCGCAAAGTTCTGTGAACACTACAATTCAATTTCAGAAAAAAACAAACATAAATACGCATCCTGATGAATAATGTATATGCTTCTATGTACAGGTAGCAGAAAGGCATGGAAAGTTATGCCCTCTTTTTTGACATTAAAAGCTACCTGGAGGTCAGGGGGAGGAAGTGGGGTGGGGGTGCCGTGGAGAGGCCTTGGTCAGCCGTAGAGAGCTGCAGAGTGGCCCGTGAAATGAGAAGTGAGAGGGTGCTGGGCGGAGGGCAGGTGCTGAGCCCTTCTGAAGACTAATGGGGCGAAAGCCAAACTGAGTAGTTGGGGAGCAGGTGGGAAGTGGGATAATGGAGCTGGCAAGTATATGCAGCTCTTCCTACAAATCTGATGTGAGCAAGAGCAAGAGTGCAGATAGATAGCAGCTAAGCAGGGCATTCTCGTTCTCCTGTGTTCTGATGGGGGAGAAGCCTAAGCATGTTACAATATTGCTGGGAAGAATCCGGCTGAGAGGCAGAGAGAAAGGGCGGCATCATAAGGACCAACATTTTCATTATTTTCCCAATTGCTTCCTCTGCTCTCCTGGCCCACAAGCCCTTAGACCCATTTAAACCTCCAAAGACATACAAGCATCATTAGATAAGCTTGGCCAGTACAGACACAAGAACAGGGAGATGACCACTGCAATGTAAGCATTTGAATGCATCCCACCAGGGACTTGAAACAAACGTATCATCTAATACAATTTATTTTTGTATTAAGCATATGTCATATGTTCCCAAAGAGCTGCCAGTAAATCACAGGCCCCAGGAAACCCTGAGGCCTGGGTTTCTACCGCAAATGGTTTGTTTCCTTATGACAGTTTAAGGTGAGGTGTGCAGCTTGTAAGTGGAGAAGAATGGCCTTCCTGTGCTGTTTGGGAAGATGGATTTGAAGACAAATATTCTCTCCTCTTAACAAAACAGACTTAAGTGCTAGGTGAGATCAGCCACAGACATTTACTTGCTGGTTGCCATGTAAGTGACAATCAGATGCTCAGCAATTTCCTTCTCTAGAGATTTCTCAAATATGAGTCCTTCATTTATTTATTCAACAAATATTTGAGCGCTTTGAAATAACATTTATTCTAGGAAATAATGATGAAGGGATACAAAAGAAACCTAAAAGAGTTTCTGTGGCTTAAGATACCTCCCAGAGTTTAAAATTTGGATAGGTGAGATAATTGTGATTCTGATAACAGTGGCTCCCGGTTGTAGCACCACCACGTGCCAGGCACTGTTCTAGTGTTCTAGGTGCCGTACATGTGCTCACTCATTTGCTCATACCAGGCCTGTGAAAGGTACTGTTATTAGTCCTATTTCACAGATGGGGTAACAGAGAAAATACAGCACTTGCTGAGTTCACATAGCTAAGAACTAAGTAAGTGGTAAGTAAGAAGTAACCTTGGAATCAAACCCAGTGGTCTGATTCCCCAATCCACGCCATTAACCACTGCATGATTTTGTCTCTCATGAGACAGATGTAGACAAACATACAGTTAACCAATAATAGAAAACAAATATATGATTATAGATTCATGGGTATGATAGAAACGGCAAGTGCTATACAAATTCCAAGTACAGCAAGAATATTGGAACATACCTGTCTTGACAGGACTTCCCTAGCCTAGGCGAAAGGTAAGAGGACTGGCTTGATGAAAAGAAAGGTGTGGTCAGGAAAGCAGGAGAGATGTCTTCCAGGGGAGAGAGCATAAGCTTATAAGCTTATCCTTTGCTGCTCCCCTGACCCACATCAGTATGTGTATGTGCTTTCATATTTTTCTTGTTAAGATACATACACACAATACACATATATGTACACATATCCACGTATGTTTTCATCAATACTGGCTTTACAAAATGAGATAGCATAGATATAGATATAGACATACACATATACATTGTTGCCTTTTTTTTCTTGTTAATTTCTGGAAAGCCCTCTAGGTCAGCCA